TTTTCGCCGTTTTCACGGTCTGAAAGTGAAAATTTTGCGCAAAAAACGCGTTTCTTGCGTTTTTTTAATGAGCGTTACTGACTCACAATCGCGGTTCCCTTTTGAGCGTTTAAACGTGTTTTTCCAAATGTTTGTCTGCCTGGGGAGTTCGTGCACGGCATCATAAGAAGTTTTAGAATCTTCAGTATATTTTGGCGAGAACGGTACACGTACGTTATTCTCAACTGAATCTTATTCTGACAGGATGATTCGTCATCATTCGTATTTTAAAATAGAAGATAAAATACTTCTTTTATCAATTCGGTTAGGTCAATTCGTCGCAGGTCTTTTCCTCGCGGACACTTCGTTGCGGTCATTTAGTCGCACGGACATTTCGTCGCAGGTCTTTTCGTCGCGGTCATTTTGTCGCGGACAATTCGTCGCGGTCATTTTGTCGCCGATCTTTTCGTCGCACGGATATCTAGTCGCATCACTTTTGTCGCACGATTTGTTTTAACATAATTTTTTGGTCGCACGGAACAATTCATCGCGTCAGATGAAAAGGACAAATAATAGAGTGAAATAAATACTTTAATCCGCTCTACTAATAAACTGTATGCTTGATTCAATAATGAATCTTGATTAGAAGAATAATGCCAAATTGATAATAAAACCGTTTCTTCTCATAAACTATATCTTTGATTTAATTTTCTTTCATGTTCCTTTTATCGTTTTCGTATAAAATGGCTACATGTAGACGAAGAAGTTCACTTCTTCATTACTTTTTTTAACGTTTACAACTTTCAAATGACTATATTCAAAAGCTCTCAACTACAAAGGTGAATCCATGATTTTTCATGATGGTTACACGTATACATTAGAACGAAGTACCGATATCAAACTCATTTTTCGGTGTCAGAAACGTGATTGCAAAGGTAAGCTTATGCCGTCGAATTACTGGCACATTATTTACTTCTTGTATTTGTCATTTTAAAGGGCGTTGTCATACAAATCTGGCTACGGATTTATTTTTGACACCACCCACTGTACATTCACATGCACCAAATCCAGATCACCTTCCAGTTGTTGAACTCAACAATCAAATCAAAACTCGAGCGGCTACTACTGATGAAGCATCAAGTACCATTCTACACTCTGCGCTACGAGCATTTCCTTTGGATGCGGATTTCTCTTTTATAGCTGGGAGCCTTCTCACAAAAAATTATGTTAAAAGAAATCGTGCGACGAGTTATCCACGACAAAATGACCGCGCCGAAAAGATCGGCGACTAAATGACCGCGACGAAAAGACCTGCGACGAAATGTCCGTGCGACTAAGTGTCCGCGACGACAAGACCTGCGACCAATTGACCGGTCACCGCCTGGAACATATTTTCAAGTGTTAAATCTAGTCCAGCCGGTGGTCTTCGTATTATTCATTTTAAGGGGAAACCTCCACTGATTATTCTTCTGTGACCACCGTTTATAGTCGAACAGCCAAACTCATCAAAGATGATTAAAAGACATGTACCCCCAGAACAACAGCACAAAGTACCAAATGCTGCAGTATCGCAAAGTGCCATGAATAAAGGTATGAGTACGATCAAGGGTTTCTCAATCGCAGCATGAAATGTAAGTGTTGGATATAGACTTCCATCTACTAAGAACACCGAAAGGACGGGGGTCGATAAGAGGCAAAGTCGGCCCCCTCTCAGATCAAGCTCATATTCACAGGTCTGATATAGTTTTTTCTCCGTGATTAAAACTAGCACCTTAAAAAAACCATTTTCACCTTCTAACATAAAAAAGGATGAAAAATGACTTCACATCAATTTAAGATGCCCAAATTAAGCCAAACTATTTTAAATAAATTAATTTACACCAATTTCGGCAGTTAAAATTAACTAGAATTAATTTCTAGGCTAAGATTAATTTAAATTAGTTTTAAATAAACTGGTTTAAATTAATTTATTTCGAATAAGTCTAAGATAATTTCGCGCTTGAAATTGCTTCAGATTGATCTCTATCTCAAATCCACCTAGATTAAGAGCCCCCTCCCTCAGAAATGGTGATTTTCGGTCAAAAAATTGGTTTTGAGATACGCACATGGAAAGATAGCCTGAAATGATAAATCTGTATTGCTTTTGGTTACAAAACTGGGTTTTCGGGGATTTTGAGCAAGTTTTCCATGAGCCTCGAAAAACCGGGTCTTCAAATAATGGTTTTTCCCTGGATACTTATGCAATTAAAATTTTTCTATGAATACAGCTTTGTAGAACAAACGTTTCTGATCAAAATAAGACCTCGCACAACTGTGTATGACCTTAAAAGTTACAGGCATTTTCCTAGAAGCCCTAATATCGAATATTTCATACATCACTATATAAGAGTTACACCTGAAGTGCGTCCCAAGAGTTTTAATAGCGGTTTGTCGTAGAGAGTTCATTCTTTTTTTGTTTAAAAGAGGAAAAGAAACTACATCGAGTGACCGACGTCGATTTTTGAATTAGGTCGAACTTTTTTGTCAAACTTTGGAGAACTAACGAGGGAACTTGTAGAAGTGTTTAATTGCTTTGGAACCGATATTTTACCGATAAAGAGGGGATCTCTGGACTAGAATAATCCTAAGTGGGTTCGGTTTTCTGAGCTTCTGGAGTCGAGTTATGGATTTTTCAAGTTTTGAAAAAAATGTACTCAATCCATATGATATCTACCACGATATACAATATCGTCGACGCAAACGACGACATACACCTCCCATAATAGAGCTCGGCGAGCTGAATCGAATTGCAAAAGCCGCATCTGGCCATCTTTGTATGAAAAACGTAATAGCCATTTTAACCTTCCAGCGGACTTGACCTAACTAGTAAAACTTGTCCAAATCGGAGTTCCTAACGTAGAACCTTGAATTTGGTCTCAAATGAAAGAGCTCGTCCAGTTCTGTCCACATCCATGGAAGAATTCAAGAATAATTTATTTCAAGCATATTTAAATTAATTTCAACTTCTCGAATTGATGTAAACTAGCTTCGCTTGCTCAAATTCATTTGAATAAATGTTTTTATAATAGATTTGGAATAATTTTGATAATAAAAATTAGTTTTAATTAATTTTGAGAGTCAAGAGTAATATAAATAGGTTTAAAATAATTTATATATTTATATATTTGTATTTAGTCAAAAAGAAAAAACAATTTTTTTTGTTGTCTGAAGGACGAAGGCAAAGTTTTGAACTTTAAAATTTTTGAACATTTTATAGGGGCACTATATGATTATAAGAATCTTATAAGAAAATCATAAACTAAAATCTTACCAAAGTCTTATTGGAGTCTTATAACATTCTTATGTTGCAAATTATAAGAATCTCATAACTATATTCCAAGCACACAAAAAGTATCGAGTATCATCCAATGCATCTCGGTGGTCAGTTTGCTGGTCAACGCTTATAGATAGAGATAAATGTTTCTCACAGACAGCATTGCCCATGGATTGACATTTTCATCCGGGGAAAACTCGGTGCATTCAAATATATTGGGTAATGCATCGACCGATGCAGCCGGCTAACTTGATGCTCTAGCTGGAATATCTAGATAACAGAGTAAAAAATATTGACCGATACTCTAGCTAAAGCATCTAGATATTCCGACTGCAGTACTTTTGCTTTTGTAGCAAGCATTTCCATATCAACTGTAGCATATAGGAATTTCGTAATGTTGGCCGATATTCCTTAATAGGAATATCATATTTAGAATCAGAATCAAAACTTGTTGTGTATCTCTATCCTATTTGAGTACGTTAATTTTTTCCGAATTTTCATATTGAAAAATCATCGCGATTCTAGCCAACACGCGTTTTTTTTAGGAATCACGGTCACCCGTGACACATAGTTTCTCATGGTTTTAGCCGTAACCACGATGTATGACTTATCGAGCACTGCGGTTAATCGATGAATCATCGAAAAATCAGTCGAGGTCAGAAAATTTTCTCTTCTAAGTCAAGTGATCCCTCGAAATGTATAGTACTCTAAACTAAAACTATCGAAAAATACAAAATCAATTTTGTACGAATACAGATTCGAACACATGAACTTAGCTGTGCAGTAAACTGGAAAATGTCTGCCTGAATAGGTATAATAACAGATACGATTCTAAGCTACACTTATTAAATGATCGATCTCATCGTCTTTTTTCTATAAAATAATTTCTTCGGAATGACAAAACATTCTGAACTTATAAATTTTGCTTCACTGAAAATTCTCAGCCCAGAAAAAATGGTCCAAAATATTTTTTTCAACAGTATGAGCGCATCTATAATTTCAAGAATGACGACGGTATTAAGAATGTCCACCAAGAACAGAATTAGTAAAAAACAATAAATACTTTAACCTGAACAAAGAGTAGTCTTACTTGCGTCATTTTATACAAGTTTCCACCAGTAAATGTGTGCCAGAAATTCTGATCACAAAAGCAAAGACAACCACGATTTAAGTACAAACCGCGGTTTTGAATTGAAAAATTGTGTTTTGTGCATCACGATATATTTTTCGGTAACCTCACCGTGATCATTCAAAATTGTGCATTCTGATCGTGATCTGCGTACAATCACGGTTAACCAATAAACGCAGTTTATTTACCAAAAACGTGATTCTTAGTAATGAAATCGTGATTAAAAATTCAAACCGCGAGCAACTGCATGCCTTATTTAACCGCAGTTTCCGAAGAAACTTCTCGAAGAAAAGTCTTAACCAAAGAAAAGAAGTCGGTTCCTCTCTGAAGAGGAAGAGTGTTAAGATTGAACTTATGAGAAAGGATTCCACCTAGGTTACGAACGAAGTCGAAAGGCAAAAAAAGACACTAACAAGACAATAAAATAAAAGACAAACAGAATAACCGAACCTCTTTAACTGTTTTTTAATGTTTAATAAATTATAACACACATAACATTTAGACGAAAAGCTATCAGCTCAGCTGTTCTACCGGAAACTATAAAAGAGTAGAATCAGTTACCAAGAAAGTTAATAGCTGCATTCAATATTCGAGCTTTTAAACGTGCATTAACCAAACCTCTTTGTTTTTACAATACGAAACAGTACATATTGAGCCACATATGTCTTCAGTGTTCTACGTCTTATATATCATACTTCTAACCAGAACCGTTTTATCTGGTACAGAACTGTCAGAGCTATAAAACGTACTATATCAAAACTCGTCAAGATAGATAATAGATTTCATACAAATAGACGAAAAGTCATTTTATAAAAGTTTGAAAATTCTAAGAACTATTTTTTGGGAAAAAGAAAGTTGCTGAAACCATGAAAAGCACGCTATTCGACTCACCTTTCTTGCGTCGACCATGAATATTGCCTTTATTTTGCTGCCAAATACCTTTTCTAAGGGGAGAAATTCAAAATACTGATATGATTTTTATGCTTTTTTAGCACGTTCGTCCACTTTATGCAGAATTTTCAGGATCTTTCTCGACAATTCAAATTTTAGAAAAATATTCTTATTCAGAATTAAAAGTTCTACATAATGCGATGTTAAAACCTTGTATTGGATGAAATGCCAAGTTTTTATTGTAATTTATGAGAAAAGTTCCATTATTTCAAAAATAGGAAGAAAATTAAGTTGTCAACACTTTCAGGATCGTATTTTTCCATGCTGAACATTACATTTTGTTCAGCTTTTTATGCTCTTTCAAATTTTATATATTTAGCCATTTTCCGTATATCTTTTAAAGACATTTTTCAAAATTTATGAAGTAGAAGTGTACTTCTAAGGTATGGAACAATAAAGACTCAAATTGCGAAAAGCGAAATGTGCAAAGGGATCAAGACAACATTCTGGGAACTTATGCGTAGAAAGAAATCAAATTTGCTGCAAGTCGAT